CAGCTCATCCTCAGCGGTTTGTAGTTCATAGTGCAAAAATAAATAATAGTTAGTATCAAACCGTGATATATCTCTTATGGACCGAGAAGAACAAAAGACGGCATGGAGAAACGCTATATTTTTTTTCTTTCTGAATATTACTTTATTTCTCCTTTGAACTTCCCAAAAGGGAGACATTTTAAAGTTACATGATTTGTTTTCATGCGTAAAGAGAAAAAGGCATAAAACAATTGTGCCTAATAGGTAGCCGATACAATGTGAGAAACTCAATAGCAGGAGCAGTAACCAAGTTAAAGAGCATAGTACCTACAATGGAGGATGATTCTCATATTGAATGTACCCAAACCAAAGTGATAGGTAAGTTTCAGCAGATGATGTAGAACGGTTTTGAGTGTTACCAATGCCGGTGTCTAGTCCAGCCAGCTTACGTATTATTGTAGATTGAATAGCTCTGATTACTTGAGCCGAAGGCTTAGCTTCGTCTCTGTGCAATCGAGCATTCCTCTCTTTCCAGATTTCATAAACTGTTGCTTGAAGCACAAGCTTGCAGATGGTGTTGAGCTTCGCTATAGAGATGTAGTAGAAACGCTATTATTAGTTGCTTAACTCGTTATTATTGGTGATAACGCTATTACTGGTTGCTTAACTCGTTAAAATGGCTAATAAAATTTGTCCAAAATCGACTCAGCTAGATTCGAATATCCGATGATAATTCCTACAACGAAGGGTTGAAGTAGTGGTTTGACCCTCAAGTTCCTTAAGCAATCTTTGTATTGTAGGTTTTCCACGTTTGAGGTTTATAAGCTTTCTTTAAATTTGTCCCAAAACAAAATTAAAGTAGAGTAACAATCCATTTGTAATTGTTTTTTGATTGAATAAATATATTTACATTGATTAAAAAAATAGACTTGTCTTGTTACCTTTTAAGTTTTAAATGAAAATTGTACTATTTCCGTTTCAATTTAGTTGTCATTCTGGAGTTTTTCACACAAATTAAGAAAATAATTAAATTTTTATGCATTATTTTATTTGATATGTGTAGTTAATAAGTTTAAAAATATGAATA